ATATATATAATGAAAAGTCCAAGAAGAGCTGTGAAAAATGAAGCCAAAGAAGAGTGATAGTGGTGGGGCATGTTACGATGCATGTTGCATTGACTGAATAACCTTCAAACGTCGATATTTTAAACAAAAATAATCACAAAAATAATTACGGAAACAACCAAAGTAACGTGGCTTCTTGTTCAGAAAACTTTTTGCGAAGATAACATTTTTTCATTTTATTTTTCTTAGAAAATTGGTGTAACTAATTACTCTTCGAAAGTATTTCAATTATGGTTGAAGTTATTTGTAAAAGAACTCGCATACAACTATGCAGACATACACATATACACAAAAACACATACCTGTAGAGCCCTTTCTTCAGCTTTTTATTTGGTTTTAACGTTGAAATGCTCGTTTTGACTTGTTCATTGTTCATCTGTCCAACTTCATTTATACGTACAAACATATATACTGGAATTATTATTATCACTACTACTGGTTTTTGTTATAATACCTTTTATAAATAAAAATTTTCCATTGCTGCTGTGTAATCGTAATGTTAATTTGTGAAACTTTTAAAATAAATTTGTCTTAATTCGTTTTTTAATTTTTATTAAGACAAATTCACTTTCAATAAAACTGCTAGGCAGATTATTTGAAAACTATGGTCCAGTTGTTCCAAACTCTTCACCAAAATCACCATTTTTTGGATTGGTTTCTGACGTTTTTGAATTTGATGACGTTCGTGGGAAGAAATCAACAAAACTTTCTTTCTTTAAAGGTAACAAATGCAATGTTTAAAATTTGAGAAGCATTTTGCAGCTTGTTTCTGAATCTTAATGCACCATCGGCATGTTTGTTAAAAGGAAAATTGCATTTGTTAAAAAATGTCAAACACTTTACCGTTGTATAATCTTTTAATGCAAAATGATAGAATATTAATATGATGGTCTGACTTAAGCTATCAAAAATGTTTTGGTTCAATCAAGTATGTTAAAGTTCAAGTAGAAGATGAATGATCTTTGATGATGCCTTTCCACTCGGTGATCACTTGTTTCATAGTTTGTATTTCAATATTGTGAATTTAAAGCTTTAAAACGTAAACCTCAGACAATTATCAACAGATTAAAAATAGGCCATTCAAGTTTGACTCATTCCTGGATTCTCAACAAAACAAATTCGCCTACATGCAACTCTTGTAACGAAAAACTAACTATCCATCACATTTTGGTCAAATGTAATAGTCACAATAATAGTAGGAAACGACATGACATCCCTTCAGAAGTAGAAAAAATTTTTTCCAGAGATAAAATCAATAATATAATATCATTCCTTCAGGAAATACAAATTTTTAATAAAATTTAAAAATAATTTCTCAAAATTTTTAAAACAACAAAACGCATTTATAGAAAATGAACAAGGGGCGTAAAGATAGCCAGTTGTGTTGAAACGCCGTTAAACTGCACAAACAAACAAACAGTAGTATTTCAATATTATTATTTCATTGTTCATTCTCTGATTGTTTTGAAAAACCTGCAACGTCTTATATTCCACTTTTATGTATAGTAAAAGTTTGCGAGTCAATTTAACTAAAATTTTTAAGTTTTATAGAATTAAAAAATTAATTATTTATCAATCTCTCTCTAGATGTCTGTGCAACAGCATTGAACTCCGCCCGTTGGTTCTTCAAAGTGAAGCATTTCGATACAAAACCAATTAACTCCATAAAAATTGTCAATTTTTTAGACAACTCGAATTAATAAAATAAATAAAATTTGTGTTTGCAAATTATTCAGCACTTATTTTATTAAAAACAAGCACGAAGAAAACCTCTGCGGAGTTGATTTGGTATGCTCAACAGGCTCGCAAGGCTCGGTGTGTTGAAATTTGATTGAACGTTGAAGTAAAAATGAATTTTTGCGTTTAATGGCTGGCTCCTGAGAGTAAATCGATGTCAGACTTATCGAAATTAATAAAAAGCAAAAAATGATTTATAAAAAGTGATTGTTAAATTTAAATTAGCAAGTAATGAAAAACACGTTGACGGTTGCAATAACTTCTGAGATGACTATTGTCTTTTCAACTGTTTCAGTAGAACCGTTGACAAAAGTAGGCAGCATTTTTCATCTTAATACATTTCTTAATCAGTATTCTATATTTATAGACGTTTTTTGAATTGTTACGCCAAATTCGCTCTCCTCAACAACGATAGTCAGTTCCATACAAAGAAACACCATTATGAATTTCCTGTGTAGAAAGATAAAAATGCTCAGAGAAACAACTAGGTTTGAAAAGTTAAGAAAAAAATGTACACCTCAATGCTTGCCTAATGCCTGCCTAGGCCTCAGATGGTGGGGGCGTAGGTGATGATGATTTTTACTTTTTTAGTTATTAAGGATGAAAACTGGTGAAACTGATGAAATGGTTTTTTATATCGCGTTGATGCGCGTTGGTGATTTCATTAGTGTGATCTAAGATAGAACTCGCCAGTGTGTAATTACTGCTTCAGTATGCGCTGATGTGATATAATTTTTTTAAACTCTGAATAATCCTGTCAAAATATACGATTGAAAATTATTTGATAACTTTTACATGTTTGCAAAATGTAAATTTTATTTACGTTGAACTTGTGCGTTTGATTGAGTTCAATGCCGCCTAGAAACATTAAAAAACTTTATGAGATTAATTAAAAACTAAACAAGATAAACACAATTACATTTTTTATAGACGGGACACAGTCACATTACTTGCAATGAAAAGTAATGGAGCAGAAAAACAAATGAACATGAAAGGGTTGGATGCTGCCTCATTCCATAACTCACACGTCAGAGGCTTTCAATGAATTCAGTGTACAGGTCAACTTTTTTGTCTGGTGCCAAGATGTTAGCGTGGTAAAGAGTGACGCATTAGTTCCATAATTAAATAAAAAAAATAATTACCGAATAATTAAATTATAATTCAGAAGAATATTATAATTCGCTCAAAAATATTTCTGAAGATGGAACAAAAAATTGTATCAGATAAAAAAGTTGAAAGCCAAAAACTTGTGTAAAACTTAATAAGAATGTGATTGATCATCGAGGACTGCCAGCGAAAGTGTGTGGGTTTAAATGCGGCGTGTCGCGATGAGTAACTAGATTAAAAACTGGACTGCTTGCTTGGTGGATGTGAGGATGGTTGTTGTTTATATTTAACGGCATTTATGCTCCCAAAGTGGTGCAATTGTTTTACCAAATTAAGAAAAAATTATTTTTTTTCTCCATGTGGAAAAATAGAAGTTCAGATAATATGAAAAATGTTTATTGCACTGAACGTGGGGAAAGAGAAATACTATAGGAAAAATATTTAAATCATATCGTAGTAGTTACAATCCTTCAGAAATTGTATTACATTGATAATATTATTGTTATTCTTAAAATTCTCTGAAAGCTCTTTATATATTAAATGTTTATGTCTATGTGTAATTGGGTTCTCGCAAGTTATAATATGTTGGATTGTTAATTTGTGTCCGCAATATTGACATAATGTTTTAATTAATGTTGACATAATGTTCTGACTTATTTAATATATATCCATGTGTTAATTTTGTGTTAATTAAAATAAACAGACTAATGATTATTAGTCTGTTTATTTTAGAGGATACCAATCGGGTGTTAAATATTCTGCATCTCTTTTGTTCGATCAGTGGCCTTATTTTCCTTAATTGTGTTATGCAATCATTCCATTCATTTTGCCATAATGTGTATATATATTTATTTATTAATGATTTAATGTCTGAGTAAATCATTGCTGTATTTAGTATGGGTTCATTGTGGGCTGTTAAAGCTAATTGATCGGCCTTTTCATTGCCAAGAATACCTATGTGACTTGGTATCCAGATTATTTTGTACAATGTTATGAATTTTAATTTTTATTGTATTAACAAGGCTATTGTTACTTGTATATTGTTTTAGTGATTGTACACCTGATAAAGAATCAGTCAATATCATAAATGATTTGTTAATTTCATCTTTTATGTAATCTAATGCTTTATTGATTGCCTGAAGCTCAGCAGTGAAAATTGAAGTGTCATCAGGCAAATGTATGACTATTTTTGTTTTATCTATTATAGCCGCTGCTGTCGTTGAATGATCTATATTTGATCCATCTGTATAAATTATGGTGTTATTAATATTATGATTGATGATTTCTTTGACTATTGATTGTATGATGTATTGGTCCTCACATTTTTTATATTTAGTTAGTTTTGTATTTATTGAAGCTTCATTCATTCTCCAGAAATAAGGAAGTTCAGGATTTTTAAGTATATCTTGATGTTTTATGATTTTAATATGATTTTCAATGCGCAAATAAAATGGAGCTATTGCTTTAGGTTTTTTGAGAAAGTTAGTTATAAATTTTTTACTTTTAATGTATTTATATAAGGGACTTTCTGGGTATGATATGATTTTATAATAATAGTTGAGTGACAATTTAATATGTCGGAGATTTAGTGGGATTTCATTGGTCAACACATGTAGGCTCAGAGATGGAGAGGTTCTATAAGCGCCTAAACACAATCTTAGAGATTCATTTATAATTGGGAGTAGTGAATTTACGTATGGTTTTCTGGCAGATCCATAGACTTGGAAACCATAGTCTATTATTGATCGTATTTTGGATCTATATATCATTAATAACTTTTCGTCATTTGCACCCCATTTGTAATGAGAAAGAACCTTAATTATATTGAGGTATTTAAAACATTTAGTTTTAACATACTTAATATGATGTATAAAATTGAGCCTTTGATCAAAGGTTAAACCCAAGAATTTTATTTTGTTATCAAATTTGATTGGTATTTTATTTAAATGTAATTTTGGATATTTTATTTTTCTTTTATTTGTAAATAATATGGCCGTAGTCTTTGAGTTTGAAAAAAAATCCCATTATCTGTTGACCAGACATAGATTTGGTTCAATAAACCGTTTAATTTTCTTTCAATATTTTCAATATTTTTATTTTTGTAAGCTATCATAAAATCATCTATATAGACTATAGAGACATCCAAGCATGTCCGGTGGAATTATGTTGCATAAACCATTTATTTTCAGACAGAACAGGGTAACTGATAAAATGCTACCCTGTGGAATTCCCATCTCCATTTCTTGTTCTGAAGATAAAAATTTATTATATTTTAGTTTAAATTTTCTTTTATTCAGGAAGTTGGATATGAATAATGGAAGTCGACCTTTCAGACCAGCTCTAAACAAATCCCTTAAGATACCGTATCTCCAGGCCTTATCATAGGCCTTTTCAACATCAAAAAAAAATGGCAACATCTTATTATTTGTAAATAATATGGCCGAGACCAATGAGGTGTTTGGAAGGTGTTTTATCATATTGTATGTGATTTTATCTGGCCCAGGAGTAGAATTGTTACTTGTATCAATGGCATACTTTAATTCTTCCACGGTAATCATGTCACTGTAAGGTTCATCATTATTTGAATTAAAATCTAACAAATTTTTTCTTCTGAGTGCATTATATTAGCAAATGTTTTATTTATGCTGGAAATGGATGAATTCACCCGGAATTGATTTGCAAGAGTGTTTGATATTTCTTCATTAGATTGATAAATTATTCCCTTAACATTTATATTGTTTGAATTGCTGTGATTGCTTTTGTTAGTTATTTTGTTGACAACTGACCATATCTGTTTTGATGTTGTATTTTTTGTTATTGTACTGACATAATTATTCCAACAATTGACTTTTTCTTGTCGAAATACTTTCCTAGCTTTAGCCTGAAGTTTTTTAAAGTCTATCAAATTTTTAATGCTGGGGTTTATTTTTAAATATTAAATGCTTTTAATTTTAAATATCTACTGCTCTTACATATGTCATTAAACCATGGATTAATTTTTGGTCTTACCTTCATAGGATTGATTTTTATTAATGGTGTGGTTAGTTCTATTGCTTTAATGATCTTTTGAGTTATATATGTTATTGGATGAATTACTTTGTAATTCTGTTGAATTTATTGTATTGTTACATATCTTGCTAAACTGATCCCATTTTGTATTTTTTAGGTTATACTTTTCACTTATTTATTGTTCTGTCATATTAAATGTTAAGATTATGGGGAAGTGATCACTGTTATACAGGTCATCTTCCCTTCTCCATTGCAAATTATTAAAAATTACAGGTGACGAAAATGCTAAGTCTATTGTTGATAATAAATTTGAATAAATATGAAAGTGGGTGGGTTGAGAAGGATTGATTAAACATATGTCATTGTGTATTAGAAATTTTTCAATGTTTTTACCATCTGTGTTATTTTTGCCACTGCCCCAAATTATATTGTGTGCATTGAAGTCCCCAATCAATAGAACTGGTTTTGGCAAAGATTTAATTAGTTTTTCAAGTTTATTAGTATTTATAATCATATTTGGTGGGTTATAAAAATTACAGATGGTTATCGGTCTGTCTAGGTTAACACTAACTGCAGATGCTTGATATTCTGCATTAATATTTAATTGTGATTGAGGGATTCTATGATGTACAAAAATTGATAAACCTCCTCTAGGGTTTGTAGGAGTTGTTGTAGCAGCTATATGGTAAGAGCTGTAGTTTTTTATTTCAACATTTTTAGTATCAGTTAGCTTAGTCTCTTGCAAACATATAATATGGGGAGAACATTTTTCAATTAATATAAAAAGTTCTAGAATGTTACTTCTAAAGCCTCTGATATTCCATTGGATTATATTAATTTTATTGGTTTTTGGTTGTCATTTATTTTGTTTTGAATTATAGTTGCCTCTAGTATATTGCTTAGTTCTGTTTATTTTTGTAGCATTGCGTTCCCATTTATCTTCATCACTTGTACCGGCATCACCAAAATCATAAACCTCAATTGGGTCCATGCAACTTGACTTATCACTGCAAATATTTGTTTTGTTTATATCTCTATTTAGATTCTGCTCAATTTCTCTTGTCTTTACTTTGTTGTTTTTCAGGGGAATGTTAATAATATCACACTGAATACCTATGTCAATCATTTTTTTACCTTTGACTACTTCTACATATGTTGGCTTTGACTCTTGTTGAATTAATAATTTGGCATCTTTATAAGTTATATTTTTATTATATTTTGTAATTAAGATATTTTTTTCCAATCTGTATTTAGGGCACGATTTATCGAATGTTGCGTGTGCCTGCTTGCAATGATAACATTTTGGTGTCTTATCGCATGGAGAATCAAATGTATGTTTATGTCCCTTTTCACCACATTTGGGGCATATTTGTTCATTGCTCTTACATAATTTGTGGAAGTGGCCATACCTCTGACATTTAGTGCACCTCATTGGTGGGGGTATGTATTGCTGAACATTGATTTTTTGATAGCAATATTTTAACTCACTTGGCAATTTAGTAGTGTGGAATGAAATGTATTTGTATTAATTCTTTGACCATTTTTTGTTATTTTAATATTCAGAACATCGTTAACGCCGAACTCTTTCAGTTCTTCTCTTATTTCTTCGACAGTACAATTTTTGAAAAGAGGAGTTTTTATCACTCCTTTTACAGAGTTGAGTGTTTTATGTAAATAACATTTTACTTTTATATCCAATATGTAACTTAGGTTCTGAATTTTATTTTTTTGCCCCCCATTTTTTATTTTAATTAAAATTTTTGTTCCAAATATTTTTATAATTTCAGTATCTCCAATGGAAGTTTGTAAAAATTTGAGAATTTTAAATAATGGTAATTTGCTAAATTTCAGTTCACCATCATTGATAGCTTCTATGACATAAGAGAGGTTTAATTTTTCTTCCTCCATATCACTTAAACTTAAACTAAGTTGGCGTTTTGGTTTTTTGTGTTTTTGGGAGTTGTTCATTATTTCCGTTTATTTTCACGCTACCAATGTAGCTGAATTAAAGAAACCACCCCAAATGGGGCCAGTCAAAAAAGAACTCTCCTATCGGAGACAGTGAAATGAAAATCAAACAAAGGGAAGGAAAATCAAAAAAATGGAAAAACAAAAAAGTAAACCACTCCTGGAAGTCAGCTTCTGCTAGCGATAGTATTTGGAAAAATAAAAAGAATAAATTCAATTCAACCAACTTCTTAGAAAATGAAAATTAACAAAAATCCGAATTCACGAAAAAATTGTGGAAAAAATTACAAAAAATTCATGTGAGGATGGATGAATGAACGAACAAATGAGGATTAAAATGATAAATAAATCTAAAAAAAAATTCTTATGAAAAAGCCTTGATGGATTATTTTGGTGACAATGCTCATAATAAACTACTTGATAAACAAATAAAAAATACAATTTAAAAACATGCAATGTGGGAAGAAAATGAGCTAAAAACGAAAAAAAAAATTACTTGCTTATAATCTGGTTGATGGATGGTGATCTGATCTGATGGATGTGCGATTAATGAGAGGAAGCTGCTGATGAAATGATGGATAGACCATGGAGAATTAAATAATGAACGGGAAGCTTAATTAATGCATCGCTTCTTCTATAAATTAGAGATATTCTTAAAATTTGTTTAAACTTGGAAATGTTTGAGAGTTGAAACATTTTGTAATCAGCAAAAGTAAGTTACGAAAAAATACTTTTTAGAATAATAAATACATTTTTTGTAGCTAAATAAACCAATTTTTTAGTCTTGAAAAGGTGGGAGACTATTTTGATAAATTTATTTTGTCACGCCAATCCTACGCTGTTAAACAGCCGTTAAACGCTTGAGGTGAACATAAACAAACAAAGCAACAAAATAACATCAACGATAACGATGTTTCTTTCAAACGAAAATAGACAAAACTACAGGTAATGTAGGCGTTAACAAATGGGATGAAAAATAACCAAGGCATAAATTAATTTTAACGTTATTAATTAAACGCGCAAAATGCAATAAAATGTTTGTGAAAGCAACATTTAAGTAAAAAAGTTGAATAAAAAAGAATTTAAACAATTATTAAACAAAATAAACAATAAAAACTCCTGTTTATTTAATTATTTTAGTAGGAATAAAGCTAGAAAAGATGAAAACCAGCATAAAGAAAATCCCTCTAGCGGGAAGGAATGTTATCTTGTTGTTGCACGTGGTTCCTCATCTTCTTCATGCAACTTTGCAGGCCTGCCTAACCAGATTAGATGATGTTTTATGCTTTCTTTATATCGCAATAACCACCGAACAACCTTTTGTTTGAAAGCCTGCCTGCCTCTGCATTCAACACGCATTGGTGGGTGGATGTGATGTGATGAATCTTTCCAGTTGTTTCGTGTTGTTTCTACAATTGGTTAAAAATGTTATTTTGTTGCTTTGTTTGTTTGTGTAGTTTTTAGAAATAATCATACGAGTTCCTGTGTTTAATCTTTCGAAATGTTCTGGACACGTCACTGAAATAACTATTTCTTAAAAATTTTTTGGTTTCAAAATGTTTTATGTAATTTTTAAGCAATATGAAAAAATTATATTTTCATTTGAGAAACTTCAGGCAGGCAAAGATGCACTGAATAATATTGATTATACGATCACTACGATCTAAATATGCTTACGTAGGCACTCACGATTGTACGAATATGTTTGTTTGTTTGTTTGTTTGTTGTTTGTTTGTTTGTTTGTTTGTTTGTTTGTTTGTTTGTTTGTTTGTTTGTTTGTTTGTTTGTTTGTTTGTTTGTTTGTTTGTTTGTTTGTTTGTTTGTTTGTTTGTTTGTTTGTTTGTTTGTTTGTTTGTTTGTTTGTTTGTTTGTTTGTTTGTTTGTTTGTTTGTTTGTTTGTTTGTTTGTTTGTTTGTTTGTTTGTTTGTTTGTTTGTTTGTTTGTTTGTTTGTTTGCTCGTTAGTCTCACTATCTCACAAATTGTTTCCATCTTTTCAATTCGTGTGAAAAATTAAATTTTTAAAAGCGTTGAAAACACGAAAGAGGACACAACAAAAATATTTTCATTCTGTAATGGAAAAAACTCCAGACTCAGATCTCAATTATATTTTAAATATTAAAAACGGCAAATAAAATATTCTACATTTTAAAATTATTTTTAATATTTTTGTTGTAAAAATAGTCTTGGAAATTTCCAGGAAATGTCTTGGATCATAAAAAATCTGCCAATAAACCACCCAATTAACGTTTCCTTTCTTCTGTTGGCACAAACATGCCAAAACCACACATCGTATACTTTCAAACAAGGTTTTTTTGAAAACCTTAAAACAAAAATTCATATAAATGTTTTATAAACTCCACTCTGAACTTCGTAAGTTATGGAGAAGAAGCCATAGAAGAAGATAGAGATTTCAAGAGAAAAGGGTCAGAAAAAGCTAAAGCAGATTTAGCAAAAGAGTTTTTAACACGAGTTCAAAAGAAGTAAGAACAAGAAGATGATCGCAAACCGGGGCGAATTCAGCGAAAGTGATTTATTATAAAAGACTGTTCATTCTTTGGGACGGAAGAATCAATTTTTTTA